CAGAGACTCCATTAAGAAAAGTATCTAAGATCAGAAACTTTGTCTTCTGCTTTTAGTCTTCTCTCAGTGGAAAAAGACATAAAGCTTCAGCAAAAGCAGAGACATACCCTCCCCTTTGGGGAAGACAAGAACTGGGTGACGTGGATGCAAACAGTGTAGAAAGATCTCTCATCTGGACTAACATGAGTTAGAACAGCCTGGTGTATCAGCAACCACGTGGTCCCAATATTATTCAAAGCTGAAATTAGTGGTGTTTAAATTTCTTTGTTTACGTCTAAATTTTGATTTTATTAAGTGTATGTTTTTAAAAGCTGCTTTTTATTCCACTAATTTTATGCTCTTCTGTGATGGCATAGTTTGCAATCAATGCACTATTTCAATGTAGCATTTTATTACAAAAATCTATATTCCTTGGTGTTCTGAATATCATATATTACCCATTTAGCCAAGTATAAAAAGTATTTATATTTGTTCAGTATAAACTTCTACTGTGTGGAATATATCTTGTACTTTACCGAAGCTAAGGCTTAAAAAAACCCAAACAAACCCCAAACAGATAGGTTTAACAGCCAACTTCTAATGATTTTAAGGAAAGCTAAATGTAACCTTCAAGGCCAGCATCAGCTATGGACCTCCTGTAACACTGAACACACTCCTGGTCTTCATTAAGCAGTGAATAAATAATAATACAGCTATCAATGCTATCTGTCATGACTAATGGTTCCCTCTAGGACAACAAATTATTGTATAGTTTGTATTATGGTCCAGAGTATCCCATTCATCAGATTCTGGGCAGCTCCAGTGCTGAGTGCTGTGTCAATCTATTGTTCTCTCTGCTCCAGCATGGCATGTTATCTGAGGTCGTAGTTGTGTCTGCAATGTATCTAATTAGCTTTACCTGTAAAGTATTGCTTCAAGTAATTTTTCACAAGAATTGGTGCCAACTATACACAGCATTTGCTTTTGATGTGAAGATACTTCCCCAAACTCAAAAAGGCTCCAAGGAGCATGTAATATGCATACTTTGCTCGATGAGAATCACCTTGTTGGATTTGCCTTTTGCATCCATTGTCCTAATGCTGGGGATTTGCAGAGGGGAAAAAAAAAAGCCAACTTGCAGAGAACTTACTGTTGGTGAATTAATACTTCTTCAGCCATCCCACATGACCACAAGAGGAAGTTGTATGTGGATTTTTTCCTTTCCATTTCATAAATCCTAAGAGGTTGTGAGCTGCTTTGCAGTAAAGCAACTTTTACATATGGTTCTTCAAGTGAAGAGAATTATACTTATTCTTCCTGTGAGAGTGAGTCCATTATCTTGAGCCAGTTGCTAGGAAACCTCCCTGTTAATCTGTCCATTCATTTGCTGAGTTTTTACTCTAAACCAAGGTTGCTC